CCCCCCCCCCCCCCCCCCCCCCCCCCCTCCAGGCCCTCAGCGGGACGCGCGGCGCTGAAGCAGCGACGCCGGGCGGAACGGCGGCCCACGCCGCGATGAAGGGACGGGAGGAAGCGGCTGATGGCGCAGCTCGAGTCCCGCCGATCTCACCCGGCCCACCCGGCACTCACTCGCCGCTGCGCGGCCGCCTCGAAACGCGTCCCCAGCGCAGACGGAGCGCGGCCGCAGACGCGCACCAAGCAGCCCCGCAGCGCCCTCCCACCGGCGTCCTCCCCTTATAAGAACGCCCGCCCTCCCCGTCGGCCGCGAGTGACACCACCGCCGACCAATCGTCGCCCGCTGGCACATAGCAACAACCCACCGATTGGTTAGATACGGCCGCAGCCCATTTTTTTCACACCAATCGGAGAGCGGGGCAGAGGGGCGCTCCCGCCCCCCCCTCCTCAGTCTCGGACACACACACAGACAGACGCACGCAGCGCCCCCCCCCTCCCCGCCCCGCCGCCGTCGGGCTCGCGCAGGCAGCAGCTGGGCGGCGGCAGCCAATGGGAGCGGCGCTGGCGGTGCCGGCGTGCAGCGCGGAGGGGGAATAACAAACAGCGCCGCTTCCTCTTAAAGGCGCAGGCACACGGGCTCCTCCCAGCAGCCCTGAGGCCTTTTGATACCGAACGTGATAAACCTCTAAAGGCCAGTTATTCAACAGACGTGACGCTGCCCCCTCTGAAAAGACGTGTCTTTAATTAATGGTGCTATCTGATGCACCACGGCAGCGCTGAGATGGGGGAAAGCACCAAATCCCTCCTGTTAACCCGAGACTTTTAGCGCTGCACAGTACTTAAATCGGTCGCCGTGAGATCTGTTAACATCCCTGTCAGCGCTCGCAAATTCTGTTTGCAGCTGACGCCGCCGGCCTCGTGAATCGAGATGCCTCACTCGAGCACGGCTCATCCTCTTCAGTTATACAACGAAGGCACCGCAAACCTTTTCAGGCAGCTCAAAGCAACGCCTTCAGGTACGGCAGATCAAAGAAGGACGCTTTCAGCTGGCAGCAGCGAAAGGTTTTTCCCCACTCGCAGCACCAACGCGCACACAGCGCTGCTCCCGCTACGCCGCACCCTCCGCAACCAGCGCGGAGCCGCCAGCAGCTGCCCGGTCCCTGTGGGCTCCCGCGGGGCTGCAGCGCCCCCTGGCGGTCTCCAGCGGTACGACAGGGGCGGGTGGGAGCGCAGGGACACGAAGGGCAGCCCGGAGCCGCCGGGGAAGCCGCCTCCCATCCGCCTGCCCAAATTCTTCCCAAGTTACTAAACGCTGTTGCTTACAAAAAAGCCTGTTTCACCTCTTAGCTAATACAGAGCCTCGAGGCTCTGCAGTTACGCTTGACCTTAATACCCAGCACTAAATGTAAATCAATGGCAACCCGGCAGCAAAGCTCGCAGCTCGGAGGAGCAGAGGAAATATTCATCAGCTTATCACGAGGAAAAGCGCTTTGGCGTCAGTGCTGTGCTTGTAGCAGACCATCAGCCCGGGACACACAGCCTGCACGGAGGTTTGCTCTCACGATGCGATCCAGCAGCACCAACCACATTCAGAACACAGCTGGTTGTTTGCCACCAGCAGCTCTCTCTCACCCGTCAGAGGCTTTTAATACCCCATAATATGCTGATCACATTTCTTTTTTTTTTCCATTTATGATCAAGTTTATCCTCTACCGCTTCTGTCTTCAAATGAACCGGAGATAAATCAAGTGGGATCTGATGGCAGAGGTTTGTTACTTGAAGGCTCTGCACACAGAAGCCAGGTTTACCTCCTTTGCAGGTTTTCTTTAGCCACACGTAGTGGCAGATGCTATGGTTACTATGGGAAAACCAATATAAGTGCCAAAAGTTTCCAAACAGTTCAATGTATATAAGAAACTTCTTTTTCTGAGCATCCGTCCAAAGGCCACCATCAAGATCTGGCAGTTTACTACATCCTAAGCACAGTTCCGTAACAGAAATCACACAAAGAATTCATAAGGAAGTAGTATTTAGTTGTAGATCTTTTATGAGCAAAGATATCTCAGTGTGTCACATTTCAAGAGCATCAATCTTTCCTTACAAGAAAAGAAAAAAAATAAAATAAAATCACTTCACAGATTTTCAGCTAGAGAGGTCCAAAACTGTTTCAGCAGATTAAAAGTGCATGGAATACATGCATCATCCTTCATACATGACTTATTTTGCAAAAGATTGAGAACATTGCAGTACGTATTAAACAATACTTAGAGTTAAAATTACCCAAAGGGAAAAAAAAAGAAATCTCTCCTGGGAGACAGAGATAAACTGAACATCCTCCTGGACGGCTGAGCAAGACCCCAACAAGTGGTTTTCTGTACAAGTGGTTTTGAAATCACATGGAACATTCAAACAAAGCAATTCAGAGCAAACATCCTACAGCTCCCTCAATTCCATGTTACTTACAGATAGTTAGCATGGCCTGTTGTGCACTGGTGCTCAGATTCATGGCTTCTTCCACACAATGCTGTCAGCTCCTTTACTGTGGTCCAAACCAATGACTGAAGGAATTCAGCAGTTTTTTTTTTCAGCACTGAGCCCCTGCTTTCCATATATCTTATTTAAACTTCAGGTGTTAAGTAGCAGATTTATCAAAGAGAGCTCATGTCTGAACAGCCCAGTCAAAAGCTACAGCAGGCGTAGGAAGAGCAGTGGTTGAAGAAATGTGTTGAGCATCTTTGAAGGCACAAGTTCCCAACACCACTCCTGCAGCAAAACAGGGAGCTTATAATGTAAAAATAAAGTCCATTTTAATAGCAGTGTTTTGTCAGCCAATACAGAATAAAGCAAAATAGTTTGCTTATGCAGTGGGAAAATGAAGTCATCATGTGTCCCATGAGAGATCGAGTCCAGAAATCAAAAGTGGTGTTTTAAAACTCAGCTATTCCTAGCCTAAGAGAAGTCCTAACTTGTGCTATTCAGTAGCATCTGATAAAACCAGAATTGCATTTGTATCTCAGTGGAGATGTGCACGTTGGAAATTGGACAGCAATAAAACTGAGTAGAAAAAAAAAATATATGCTGCACAAAAATGTAGGATCTGGAGCTATAATTGAATAGTAAACCAAATTCAAACAGAGAGGGTAGAAGCTTTTTCATTTACCTATTGAGATCCATATGGAGCCCATTCTGAAACTGTTCTGTGAATATTAGAAAACAGGAAGAAATATTGCTAGATTGATTATTAGCAGTTACCTGACCAGCATAACTGGTCTGAAGTGGAAACAGGAAGCACAGCACATGATAAATCATGTAATCCTTATTCCTATGAGCAGGTAGGAAGTTACATTTTCCTCTCAGCCATTCAATATACAACAAGCCTGATTAAATTAAAAGGAAATTGAATCTACAGCCATCTTAAGTAGGCAGACATTGAGAAGGACACCATTAACTCACTTGCCACCACTGTCACACGTTCAGTTAAAGTGTAAATGCAGTAATGCCTTCAACTTCATCTGTAAGAACTCCTTGGAAAGGAACTTCCCTTCTCTTAAATGGACATTGCACAAATGTGGTTGTGCACAACACAAATGAATATTATCCATTCAGATGGACTTGGCATTCTACCACGGATGGGCGTAATGAAATAGCAAAGATGCTCCATAATTACAGGTATGGCACAGCAGCCTTGCAGTGAAACAAGAGCCCTTCCAAGTTTCAGATGGGAAGGGAAAAAATTCATTGCTTTACAGACTTTTAGAGTAATGAGTATATCTTGCAGTGGATGTATCTCTTGTTCTGGCTACTGTGTTTATTATTAAGTGATATCATTTTCACATGAAGGTCCATAAGGAATGAGATACTATCATCACTACACAACAGCTGTGTTCCAGCAGTACCACCTGATGACTGGGCTCTATACATGTCATTGTGAATAACTGAGCTAAAAAAGAGTCAAATTCTTTCTGAAAAACCCTAACATGTCAATGCCAAAACACGGGGGCATCACAGGCTGACACTCAGAGCATCTGTTCAGAGGGGCAGAGCAGCACTCAGCTCTAAAAATACATTCCTATCCCTCCCCATTCCA